GATTCCTTGGTGTGGTACCAACCCTTGTGAAAACATCTGGGCTGGGCATTAGTTAACTTGAAAGGTAATTTTGGAGACATTCAGTAAAATCCTTTTGCTAGGAAATTGCAGTAATTGTGGTAATTTCCTTTTAATGATGTGCGTTACATCTCATTAGCAAAAACGTTGTTGGGGGCTGTTTCAGCAGCAATGGTACCGTGTCCTTGCAAGGAGCCACCGAAACATGGGATGTACTTCTCATGCAGAGCTCCTGTGGCTTTGCATCTTCAGCCAAGGCTGGAGGTGAATCACCAGCGCTGGTTTCAACTCAGTTCAGTCGCCCCTGAAATAATGCTGTGATACTGCAATCAAAGGGGGTGGATAATTTTCAGCTGGCTGCTGTGTGCCTCAGCAAGTTGCATAGGAGCTGCAGAAGACTTTGGGTGCTGCTGTGAATGCACCCTTCTTTTGGCCAGTGGAAAGGTTCTTCATAAATCAGATCTGTGGACCTGGAGGTAATTTTTCCTAACAGCCCAGGCTGAAAACTCAAGCCTGTATCCAGCTTCATTTAAATGAATAAAGCTGCTCCTGCTGACTTTTAATGGGGCTGGAGGAAGGGTCCAGGGTAGAAGCCAGTCCATGTTCTTATTGGATTGTGTATTTGCACCCACACACACACAAGAAAGAAATAAAAAATACAGCTTTCATGTTTATTCACAGGCCACAATAAAAATCCGATTTACTTACCCATAGCTGTGGTGGTGCTTGCACATGAAGTGGGGCCTAAAACGCTTTAAATTTAAAGAGTAATAAAAATAAGTAATGAAATACATTCATAATATAGCTAGAAAATATATGCACAATCTCAACCTGATGTAATTGATAATGGATTTAGCAAACTCAGGCTCAGAACAGTGGCTTTATTTTGTAGATGCTATAAGCGGTTTGTATTGCTGAATGAATTGCTAAAAACTCAGCCATCAGATTCCATATATTTTGGATTATTTATTATCTTATTTTGTTTTTTTCCCCTGCCTTCATTAGTAGGTGAGAATAGCCTGATTGTGTGAGTTAGAAGGCTTAAGGACTGCCCCTAGACTCCTCAGATTTTCATGATGGCAAGTGGAGGAATAATAAAATCCCAGTTGGTGCTTTCTGATGTTCTCTGTTACATCCTTCTCTCCTCAGTTAATTTTAACTTTGATAATTCTGTCTGGTAATAATTTGCTTTGGTGTTTGCATGTGATTGAATTATTTTGAAAAGCAAGAGTAAAATGAAGATTAATGTCTCAGGAAAAAGTGGTGGCAGAATAGCTGTGGCCTGATTACCTCCTTTCTGAGTTGATCAGCACCAATTTAGGTGATTTCTAGTTGGTGGCATTTGTCCTCACTGCTATCTTACATGTTGACTTCAAGTACCGTGTTTGAAGGGAAGGGGGGAAGAGTAGGTGTAAGTAGATTACCTGCCTTTAATATGGTCATCCAGGTGAAAAAGGTCACAAAGATTTCTCTAGGTCTTAAAACTGATGGAAGCTTCATTTTGTTTAGTGAAATTTTGTGTGGAATCTCAATTTTTCTATTATCCTTCATATCAAAAGCAGCTACCTAAGGCTGAAGTGTCCCCAGATAAACTCCAACAGGGCAGGGCATGGGCAAGGTTGAACCCTGCAGCTGAGGCTGCCACTCTGATACGCCTGCCAGCTCATTTGGAGAACTTGCATATCTTGAGCCCAGGAGCCTTCAGGAAAAAGCAAGTTTCTGGAAGTATAAGCCATTCTTTGGCAAGTGCAGACACTTCTGCTTTAAGAAAAATCTGCTTTCCTGTTAACTATCCTGATAAGGCTGCTCCTGGAGTACAGCATCTCCATCAACTCTTATCACATCACCCACCAGCAGGATGGTGATGTGCCCAGGATTTTCTACCACTTTAATTTTCACTGCCAAGTCCCAGCCTGATCTGCTTCCTCTTATCACCTGAGTTTCCTGCAGGCTTCCTTGCCCACTGGGCTCCAGCAGTCCACGGCTTTCAGACTGTTTCACAATTACAGACATGCAACTCAAGGATTATCTCCTTACTGTGGAAGGCTTTTGCTTTGTGTTTTTGCAGACCAGTATTCCAGCTTGTATTAAATAACGATCAGCGCTAAGCTGACTGGTACCCTATGATGGTGTTTGTTGGCGCCTGAAAGTCTCAAGGCATTGTTTATGAGTAAAATTTCCACTTTTATTCAAATTCCTGCTAGGGGCCAACTACCTCTTGGGGTCCAAACCACAGAAATGAAATAAAATTCACTGTCACCTGCTCCTTCCTCCAGATCCTTCACTCATTCTGTGTTACTTTGGGCGGCTAAATTGCCAACAAAAATTTGGCACGTTTGTTTTCAGTGATCCAGCCTGTTGTGGTAGTTAGTACCTGCCTTCCCTGTTATCACCTCCAAGGCAGGAGTCAGAGCAGCATTTTGGCACAGGTTTTAAACACCAACATGTTTTAAAAATTTAGCCTGGCATGCATTAATAAAAAAATAAAAAAAGAAAAAAAAAGAAAAGAAAAAACAGGAAAAAATAACACCAAGATATAAACTAGGTAAAGGAAAAAGTTGCGTGTTTTGGGTTGGTTTGTTATTTTTTCCCTAAGTTTAGAAACACCTTTGTGCCTTTCAGAGGTGAACAAATGGTAAATTCAGATTACTCTCCTGAAAAAAAGAAACAATTTCATTTTATGGTTTCTGTTTCCCACTAAGTTGATTTATGTGACTTTCCTGGGAATTTCATTCTGCCTGCGGTCTGTGTGGAAGGACAATTCTGAGAAGAAAAAGCACTGATTTAAGGTTTAGAGGAAAAGCATCGTGTATGTAAAGAACTGTTTAGCCCTCATGGGATAGAAGTACCGTTATCCTTTTGATCTTGATGCTTGCAGTCATATATTCATTGCCAGTCAGGATCAGAAGCCAAACCTTGATCTTGGCTAGGATACTGTATAAATAGGAGCACTGTGGGAGCAGCTTCTCATCCAGTTTTGCAAGACGCAGAGGTAGAGGTGGATGGGGCTCAGTCTTCTTATCTCCTTCAGTGAGAGTGTCTCCACTGGGTTAACCTTCAAGTGACACTGGTGGGATGCTTCAAGCAATAGGTACTTGTTAAAGGGCAGATGTTTTTAGTTTAATTAGAAACAGAGAGCAAATCTGGGACCTGTCCTCTTAGCTGTGCATTAGTATTCTGCACCCTGCCTGTTGCAAAGAGGTCACATTTTGAGGAAGGAACACAGAAAAACAATATAGGCAGCTGTGCACTCTCTGTAGCCATTGTGCTGCTCTGAAAATAATACCCCTTTCACCCAGTGTTGTTGTAGATGCTGTTCTCCTGCTGTGTTCCTTTCATAATTGTCATTTAAATAGCTTAAATAGCTATCTTAGACTAGATTTATCACTGGTCTAAATTTGTCTGTGTCAGGCAAGAGAAGCTGGGTTAGCATTTGGCAATTCAGGTATGTTTTAGAAGCAGCAGACTTATTTAGTTTGAGAAAGAAATATTGATAATATGTGGTAAATTGGCTAATTTTGTCCTCTAGTGTAATTTCCTGAAAGAGAACCAACAGGGTTTAGAATTGATTTGACTAAATAATAAATGATACATTCTCCTACTGCAAGGTAGGCAGCATTTAGTCTATGAATCTTCTGTGGATATGAATGGAAAGACTCTAAATAATACGTGTGCTGGTTATTCTCCCAGGCACTGCTGTACACCAGAGTACAATGTCAGCAGCTTGCACCAGAAAAACATAGAGGTAAATTTAGAGTTTCTTTTGTCTCCCTCTCATTGCTTTACCGATGAACTTCAAAGGAGCTTTCTCCAGACTTTGTTACTTCCAGCTGTGGTTTTAAAGACATGGTGTACCTGTCCACAGCGCTCAGAGAAAGGCTCCAGATTTAAGTTAAGTGCAAGCCTTTGTTACCTTGTCATCAAAAGTTGCAAAGAAGTCCTCCTTATATCTCCTTGTATACGGATTTGAGATTTTTCCTTCTTTCTTGGTCATTTGAGTAGGCTGTGGTAACCCCAGTGTTAAATTAAACACTGGGGCTAATATGTAAAATAACATGCAAAATCTATGTCCAGATTTTTAAATCCAGATGTTATTTTTCAACCTCTGAGTTGACACTAGACACTTTTGCTCAACCATTGATGTTTGCAGGGCCTCTTTGTACAGCTGCAGATGAGGCTGCTAAAGTGCCTGTGCAATAGCCAGAGCTGGCATTAAAATAGATGTTTAAGGTTGAGTTTGGAGCTTGCTGCTGAAATTACCTCTCTAGGTGCTTGTTGTACCTTTGTCTTGTAAGTGCTTTGCCTGCTGCTAGGTTAGCCAAAAGGCACGCAGCAAGCTGTAGGCCATATGGCCAGGCAGATGGATTTTGTGCATCATCAGGTCCCTTTAGAAGTAAAGGCACAACATTAAGGTGAAGCAGCGCTTGTATGTTTGAGCAGTTGACAGCTTAAGCAAGATATGTTTTGTTATGCTTAATAGGTGCTATTTTACATTTCTGTCCAGAGCAGGAAGACGTACTGTGGTGGAAAAGATGCAGCTGAATGGAGGTGGCAAAAGATACTGCTGGATCTGATGTTAATTCAAGTCCTGGGTCTTTTCCTATCTATTACATGTCTCTTACATAATTTGAACATTGGGTAGACAAAACGCTCCACAATTTCTTAAATGTAAGTCTCTGTTAGGATGAAGCTTGCAGGCTTTTCCCCTTTTGGCTTGGTCATGCCTTGGTTAATAGCCCAATTAATTGCTAACTGCCAGTGCATCCATGCCCAAGAGCAATGCATCTTCCTTGGATCTGGTGCTGCCAGAGCTGTTTGGTCCCACCCTGTGGCCCATAAGCTCTGCACTGGTTGAGGGCCAGTCCTGCAGAAGCACTTGGAAATAATTTTGGTCTAAATCTTTATATCTGAGCATAACTCCTGATTTTCAGTCTTGCCCCTCACTTTGCGTGTTCCCTAACAGTGGCTGTTGCTGTTTGCAGATGATGGGAAGCTGTCCATGGAGGAGTTCCAAGCCTTTTTTTCTGATGGGACACTCAATGAAGAAGAACTTGAGAAGCTCTTTCATACCATTGACTCAGACAACACCAAGTAAGTTCCCCCTGCTGACACCCTCACATTTCACAGAGCCTTTGGATCACAGCAAGTAGCTGTGGCTGTGCTGTAACAGTGCTGTTCTGGAGAACTAGGCAAAGTGAAACTTGCTTTGCAGAACTTTGCAAGATGTCCATTTCTGCTTAGTTTGTGCCTCATTGTGATGGCCACTATGACTTCCCTCACTTGGTGGCTTTTTTTCAAGTCGTTTTCTTTATTGCAACCTGATCTGAAATGGTGCTTAGTTTTACCTATGAGGACATTGAAATGGCTTTTCAGCTTTTCCACTTTATCTAAAAGCTTTGCTGTGCTATGACAGGCAACTGTGTGAATCTCCATAAGCATAGTCCTATCCAGCTCTTTTACACATGAAAAACTGGAACGATTTGTGGTCTTGTTTCTTTGTGATGTCTCTATCCCCTGTGCTTGGGCCATGCCTGCTTCACCTCCCATACAAAATACCCCCTGGAAAGCAGTGATTGCTCTAGCACCAAATAGAAGCAGACACTTTCTCTTCAAGGTGAAGTTCAGCTGCACAGAGGCCAGCACAAGCCCTGCAGCCAGTGCTGTAGACGCTTTGCCTCTGCTCTGGTCCCAGCAGGCTGATGTGGCTGTAGTTCTGTCTGCACAAAGCCTGGGCAAGGCAGCAAGGGGATAGATCCATGATCAGCACTGCACTGACTGCATCACAGATTCAATAGCAGCAGGGAAAAGCGATGGCAGGGGAAGGCTTTAGGTGTGCTTAATTTGATGTTACATCAAATTTGAAACTAAATATGGCACCTGACTGCTCTCACTGAGAAGCAAGCTTTCACAGGCTGTGCCAAGCTATCAAATTAAGGTGACAGGCTCATTAACAGCGGATGTTTCCTTCCGCTCCACATGCCTTTGCCATCTCTGCCTCAGTGCCCCCTCTGACTGCCTTTGCTGGGGTCTGAGGCATTTGTGAGCCTTCTGACAACTGTCTGGCACTGATGGTGTTTGGAATTAGCACAAAGCCCCGGTGGAAGCCCCCTTGCTAGCAGGTAGTGATGGTGTGGGCACCAGTGCAAAGACCACAGCTCACTAGTGGGTTTTCTCTTTCCAAGATGACCCCATTTTCAAAAGCCTGAGTAGCTTAGACTGTTAGGAAGTACAGACAAAAGCCAGTGTTGAGTCTTATTCCAGTGTGACTCTTAAAGCTCTGGAGAGATAAAATCTGTCTAAAAGCAGATGAAAAGAGAATGTAATTTCAAATTAGAAGCCTTGCAGCAAGTGCTTTAAAAAAATAGTCTGGTTAATTATGGAGCCTTCTGGCAGCAGGTACAGAGTCTTGCCAGTGTGAGTGGTGCATGCTTTGCACTTATCCAAAAGATCCCCTGATCTGTGTATGCTTCCCAAAGTTAACCCCAAGATCAGAAATGTTAAAGACCAGCTTGGTATATGTTATTCACTGCATCAAGGGAATTGTCATGATCTTGTTACTAAAATTAGCTGGGAATTATCCACCCCTTCAGATGGTTCCTCTTCAATAGACATTAGATACTGTCTTACATCTTTTAGGTCTATTTATTGTGACGTTCCTGGGTGGGCTCTCTATAGACTCTGGGTCTTGGGTGCTCATGTGCCTCTATTCTGAAATAATCTTTAGCATTGACTGAGCTCATCAGTTTTCATCTTGCCTTTGAAAAGATGCAGACGGTCAACTTGTAAACCAGGGTGGACAGGAATTAGTGTGTGTGGGTGTTTATTCTAGTCTTCTTGAAGTGGGAAATTGGATTTCAGGTATTGTAGAGAATCTGCAGCTTTCTCCAAGCCTTAGTAAGGGATGTCTTTAAAATTGGACAGAGAGAAAAGGTGCCATTTCTAAATGATATACAACGGTGCTGCTGGCAAGCGGGGGTTTCTGGGCAGCTCCTGAGCATGGCAAGTGTTCCTATAACTCAATAGTGTTTTTCTTTTGCCAGGCTGGCTTGGTCCAATCATCAATACCCATGAGGGACTGATAGTTGAACAGAGCAGTTTAGCATCTGCTGTTCTTGGCTGAAAGGAAAAGTAATGACTTGGTCACCCTTCCAAGTTAAATCCTTGCATGAAATTGTCACTTGCTTGTTGATTTGGAAAACATTGACACCTACCAGAAATTTGTGAAGTTGAAGGAAGAAACTATTCCTCATTTTTTATCTGCAAGAACTCTTTCAGTCTCCAGAAAACCTATTTCAGAGCCAGGCTTCCTTCTGCAGGAGTGCTTTTCACTATGAAACAAACAGTTTGCTTGACTTCAGTCATGCAGCTCGTACAGTCCTTCAAGTTGTGTGTACTCTTCACCTTGCCCCGTCTTTTGCTCTCTGCACAGTAAATCAGCAGGTCAGTGGGATTTGGGGCAGGAAGGATGCTGCCTTCAGCCTCCACTGTGCCCAAGCACTAGCACTGCAATTTTTAGCATTGCTGCCACTGAGTAAGAGGAATGGAGCTTTCATTTTTCAGGGGAACAGAAGAACAATATTAAGTTTATCTTCCAAAAAGGCTGTTTGAATGCCACTTACTTGCTATTTGATAGAAATTTATTTCTTTTTAAGGCTGTTTTTTGATACTGTTTTATCTCTGTGTTTTTCTCATACTGTCGATCATGTTTGTTTGGTGTGCAAAGCAAAGTTTGGTATTGAAATTACATTACAGCTAGAGTAGAACATGAAGGAAATTATGTTCCTGCTGATTATTAGTAATTGCTGTTACCAGCCAAATTACAAAATGTTGATTCAATTTCCTGGAGTATTTTTAGGAACACGGAACTGCCTTACTGGAGGAGAAAAAATGAATGTCTGTACTGATTTGTTGACTTGCTTTAGTTGGGATGATACTGGAAAGGAGAAAAGTTGGGCAGAGGAGCAGGAAGATGAGTTTAATTTTGGATGCAGGAGTAGCTGAACTAGAGGAGTGTGTGCTTCTGCCTTGGGCATCCCAGTCTCCCAGTGAAACAGCTCGTTGCTAGTAAGGTGAAGTTCGGAAGATGCTGAAATGACCTGAACTGAGATACCCCTAAAGAGCCCAGGGGATTAGTGAGGATCCCTCTTTTTTGTGACTGCCGTGGAAATGTCTCAAGGATGTTAATGTGGCATGTTGGACACAGGCTCCAAACACCCACCCTAGGGTTTATTACCCAGTATAAGAGAACCTGCCATCCATGGTAGGGTACAAAGAGTGTGCTTGTAGTGTACAAGTCCCACCATCACTAGTTATTTCATCTGGAAGCAGGAATGTGCATAATGTGTCACTTATTTCACTTGGGTTTTTTTTGGCAAAGTTATCCTCATAACCTGCTGTTGCTTATAAAAGGATGATCAAGTGGGATTTTTCTTTCTGTTGCTCACACTGGCTGCCCTCCTTCCCTTCTCCCAGCTGAAGCAGGAAGCAAAAGCAAGACTTTGCTAAGTGGTTTTTTTAAGCTGCTATTTCAGGAGGTTTCAGCAGTGCTTTATGGGGAGCTGCCTGAAGATTACTGGGGAGGTAATGATATGTCATTAATAATATCAATGCTACTGGAATGCATAAATTAAGTGTATGATATGTAAACACACATATTTAAATATGTATGTTTGGTTTGGTGGCAGAACAGGGCTTTAGAAAACATTAGATTGGTGGTCGCCCTGGAAATCCTCTTATATTTGCAGACTGTTCCTAACAATATATATCAAAAGTCATTGCAAATGGAAATTAAAAAAAGTTGTAGGATCACAAATGACCAGATGGAGCCCTTTAAAAATATTACTGTGATACTGGAAGAGACTTGCTTTGTCTGACCCACAGTTACCATCTTCTTCCAGCTCCCTGAGCCAGCACTTAGATCCACTCTGCATCCCACTGGAAGGAAGGAGCACCTCTCAGCCCTAGTGAAAGTAGGGGGAGGTCAGATGGGGCTGTTGAACAAACAAACTTAGTTCTGGCACAGGATTTTAAGAATTCCCTTACTAACCTTTGTATTTTTCATACCTGCAGAGGACAATCCTCCTCACTGGAGCAGGACTTCTCGAATGAGCTGTACAGTTCCATTCACAAGTTGCCAAGAACACGGCATTAGCATTCCGCTGCTCTGCTGTTTGGTAACTCTTCTTTAGACTTACAGCTATTCTTTTAATGGCTTTGTTTCCCCCATCTCTCTAAATGAGCTCTTCTCTCCAGTGACAAACACTAGGAAAGGTTGGATTGTGCATGTAGAATAATTAACAGAAGCATTATTGCCTCTCAGAAGCCTGTCACAGCTTCACCAGGCTGTCACATTTGCTGGAAGATTGTGACAAATGGAGAGCTGAAGGCAATGGGGTTCTCTAGCCTATACAGCTCCAGCCGCATGCCACCTCCTGCCCTTCATGGCAGTTACCTGTCAAGGGCTGGTAGTCCAGAGGGGCAATGATGGGGGATAGATGGGAAAATTGATCACCATACCACTGCATGCTGAACAACATCCTTCTTGGAAACATGGAACCACTCGCCTCCCAACCCCATTGCTGCTCAGATAGCACAGGGAGCTGTATTATAAAGCGGAGTAATTTGGGGTTGCTTTGGGGCACAGGGATGTAGTGGGGCACAGTCAGGGCAGCTACCAGCTGGAGTTTGTGTGTTCAACCCCAGAGCAAGGGGAGGCATGGCTGCCCAGGGCCACGCTGGATTCAGGTGGTGATGCTGATGAGCTGCTCTGCCTGCACAAATTAGTCCTGCTGTGGAGCGGAGCATGTTAGCCTGGAGAGCACTGTTCTTTCCAGGAGGGGTGGATTTAGCACCAAGCATTTTCAAGAGCCCTGCAGTGCCTACATGGACAGGGTGGGAACTTTGGGCTGCTTTGTCAGGGAGATAGGGTGCACCTGGCCCTGCGTGAGTGTTTAAATGGCTTCAATTCCAGACATAGCTGTTGTGGGGCAACCTGCTGCCTGGCAAAGTGAAGCTGGCTGAGATGGCTCCAGCCATGGACTGATGCGGTGGGACAGCTGCTCCTCAGGGCCCGGCTGCCAGCCCTGCTTCCT